ATTATGATTACTTAAGAATTTAAAACAGATTTCTCTATAATTATTACTATTATATATCATAGTAACTGATATTTTATTATTAATTTAATATTAAATTTTTAATTTCAATTCAATTTTAATTAATTGAAATTAAAACTTATGTATATTTCAGATGTTCGAGGATTGGCGAATAATGGAATATTTTGTTGTTAATATTCAGCAAACAATTCTTCACAAGGATATTCATATGAGTATGAGCTCAATTATATTAGAAGTCAATAGACCCAATGAAATTGAATCACTCTTCTCCGATATTAATTACGACAAGGGTACGATAAAATAAGTCATCATCTTCAAGTTTCCGAACATAGGTGATCAAAAGAAAAAGAAGAAACAATAAGAAAAATTTTTTACTAGTGATATGTTTATCAATCTTTATCTTTAATGTTCTCTTTTATTAGCTATGTTCACAAATTTATGGATGATAATATATTTTATTATTATTTTATTATTATTTTATTATTATTTTATGTACATCAATTTTTGAGTTTATTTATTATTATTGCAGCACCCGCTATAATGCGTATGTTACAACATATAATTTCCGACGAGATTCTTCGAAATGGTCTTATTAAATATTTACACACGCAGTAAGTAATATGTTTATCTTTTCACATAGACATTTTTTTGGTGAAGTATTCAGTGTAATAATAATTCAACTTAAAAGTAGAAAGTTTAAAATGTTTTATCGTTAAGTTGCTGATAATATAAATCTATCAATAAAACACTATATAAGTGAAACTTTATTTTTTACATCAAACAAACTTTATTTTGTAAATGAATAACATTTTACATTTTTTCAATAAACAACAATTACAATAAATAACAATAAATAATAATTTAATAATTATTAAAAAATTAAAAATTTTGTTACTAAAACTTTTAAACAACAATAACTTATGAATGATAAAAATAGCATGCGTTTACAAATAATCTCTAAAAATTTTACAAAATATTTTCTAATCTTTTTCAGAAAAAAATTAATCATTATTACATTTTGAGTGCGTCGATATAAGATATATATAAGATATTTCACAGTATTAATTGTGGATTTATCTATGCTTATATGTATAACTTATTGCATTATAATTTTCTTAACAAATCTATCTTCTATCTTTCATAATTTAGTCAGTTCAGTTCGGCTACTTCCGACGACTTATGGAACGCTTTGCAAGCAGTACTAGACACATCAGATGTCCCGCATGATGCTTATAGATTGAAAGAGGTAATGGATACTTGGATAAAACAATCGGATTTTCCTGTAGTTTATGTGACCCGAAAAAATGACACCAATGAGATAATACTAACGCAAGAACATTTTCTTTCAAAAAATGAAAAAGAGAACATCAATGATAATAAATGGTGGATACCTTTGACATTTGCTACGCAAACAAATCCTAATTTTTCTAATACCTTACCTTCTCAATGGCTAAAACCGCAAGATCAAAATATAACGATTAATGGAATTGATCCAAATGATTGGATTATTGTCAATTTACAACAAATGGGTGAGTATATTTAGTATATTCGATATTTATTTAATCTAAATTTTAAAATATTTATACTTTACTTATTTATAAATACCATTACTCTATTAATTTTATATTTAATAATTATCAAAAAAAATTATCAATCAACAGTTCTATATTTTTATTTATAATTATTTTCTATAGATTTCTATTTATATTTCTGTTTATTTCCTATATACTTTTTATAATAATTTTGTTTATAATGCACAATATAAATTTTCAACGCGCATATATAAATGTGACAAATATTAAAATAAGATAAAAATATCATATATATATATGTGTGTGTGTGTGTGTGTGTGTGTAATATAATTTATTAAAAATATAATTTATTAAAAAATATAAATTAAATTATCTTTCTATTATTAAATTATTTAATAATTATTATCGTAATTTATAATATTATTTAATTTGACAATAGGATATTATCGTGTTAATTATGATTCTTCCATTTGGCAAAAAATTGTGGATTATCTTAAATCTGACAATTATATGAAAATCCATGTACTCAATCGTGCTCAAATCATCGATGACGCTTATCATTTTATGATGATAAATAAACATGATATCATAATGTTTCTGAATATTATTAGTTATTTATCGCAAGAAACAGATTTTATGCCGTGGTATTCTATGTTTAAAATACATATTAAAACTTACAGAAGATGTTTACAAAGTTCCAGAAAATGAAATTCTCAAAGTAAATAATCTCAAAGTATTGTAATATAATTACTTAAAATAAAGAAGTATATGTGCGTGCGTGCGTGTGTATGTGTGTTGTGTGTATATATGTATCTAATCCCTGAGATAAATATTTATATATCAATTATAAACCGATATAAAATTAATATTTTATAATTTTTTTAGTCATATATACTTAAAATTTTCGATGGACTTATTAAGCACGTAGGATACGAAGAAAATCCTACTGAGAATGATTTTACGAAACTTCAAAGAACCGAAACTTTAAAATGGGCATGTACTTTAGGTCATTCCGAATGCAAGAGAATAGCCACTGTTAAACTGAATGATTATTTTACATATCCTACAACACATAGGTTTTTACATATTTTATTCTATTCATTAAGTTCTAATTAGTCCTAATAAATCAATATGAAAATAGATATAACATATGACATTTATTTATTTAATAAGTTATTAGAATTTTAGACATATACACACACACACATACTCACACGTGGATGTAATTATACACACACATCGATTTTTTAAATTATATGTTATAGAATTTCGCCAAATTTAAAAGACTGGATATATTGTAATGGTTTGATGGAAGCAAACGCTTCTACTTGGAATAAATTATACGATATATATGTAAATAAATCAGACAGAGAAGCTATGATGTATTTGGTTTGTTCTGAAAATCCTGATATTATAATTAATTTTTTGAATATATCTATACCAGGAAATTCATTTAAAAAAATTTATGATTACTATATAATTTATTCTTCTATTATCAGAAAACATGCGAAGAATAATATAGTAATCGACTATATATTAACAAATTATAAAAAAATAGTGCCAAGGTATTTTAATAACATGTTTAATATTAATTGTAAACATATATTAGTTTTTGTATTTATTAATTATAAATCTCTTATTTTTTTATAGAAATTACGATGCAAATAGAGTATTAAATAGTATAATTAACAACATGTATTCTAAAGAAAAACTTAACGAGGTAAATTTTATTATTTTGAATTTTACACCATTATTTATTTATATTTAAATTTATTTATCTCTATATTAGTACAAAATAGATTTTAAATTTTTTCGACAAAATGCTATTGTTATTAAAATTTCATAATTTAAATGGAAAAATATATTTATTTTTGTTAGATATACATAATAAATGTACTTTCAAAGATTTGAAATAATATATACAGAAAACGAAAATTTATTTCAAATAATTTATTTCAACAATTTATTTCAATAATTATATATTTTTCTATACGTATTATATTGATTTTAGATTGTTAACACATTAGTTTTATATACATTGCTGAAATATTTAATTGAAGTTGTTCTATCATGCTTTTATTACATATAATATGGCATAACATTTCTAATAAATATGAATATAATATATTTTCAGATAAGCGAATTTGTAAGAAAAAATTTTAAGGAGAAATTATTCAAAAATGTTCAAGACAAGATAACAAAACGTAAAGAATGGTTGCACATATATGCTTCATTTCAATTACCTAATATAGAAGAGAAATTAAAATTATAAAACAATTATAATTAACTAGAACAATTGCAAAACGAATACATATGTTTATTTATTTCTGATATTAATTCTGATATAATTCAAATTATTTCTGATATTAATTTAAAACTTATCAGAAACTTTTTTATTTTCTTTTCTTTTATTAAGACTAAGTTATAAGATTAATAATATTATTTTATATTCCTTACATTAATATCTTTCTAAACTTATGCTTCATGATGCAACTTATGCTCATTTTGTTTTCTCTGTCTTTTATTCAAATGATTTTACATTGCACATACAATATAGATCTGACTGCATATAATAAAATTATAAATAAATTAAATTATAATTTGTATATAAATATAAATATAAATATATATATATATATATATATATATATGTATGTATGTATGTATATATATTTATTCATTTATTTATTTATATGAATTGTTCATTAGTCATTATATTTAACTGTAACGAAAAATAGACATTTTTGAAGTAAATGGACGTAATACGTGCTGAGTCATTTTGCTAACGCACACGATACAATAATAATTATTAGAATTTTATGCAAAATAAGAAGTTAGTTTGCATGAATGAATAAGATAATATTGATTGATATCATTTAATCCCTATGCAAGTTAATGTACAGAATTCTACAAATATACTTTTGTTGATCTCTAATGAATCATCACAAGTATTAATTCATGGTATGTGTTTTTAATTTATTTTTACCTATCAACCTTGCGAATTTTGCATAGTCTTGTGACTATACAATATATAAGACTATTTATATAAATTGTAATTTATTTGGAAACTGTACTACTATGACAATTACAGTGACACTATTGCAACTATTTCAAGTTTTCAAAATGTTATTCCAAATAAAGTTAATGTTAGCATTCACGAGATTAATAAGGCTTTATGTGAAGATACAAAATTGAATTTTTGCGAGCAATATGATCAGGGATGATTATGCGTCAATTTTATATAATATTAAAAATTAAAATAAATTGACTGAAATAATAATAATTAAAAAATTATCTACAAAATGTGATTTTTTGATCGTTTATTTGATCTCATTTTAAATTACAAAGTTGAAAACGAAACGAAAACAACAACACAAATATATTTAAATACATATACATAAATATATTTAAATATATATACATATATTTAATGATGACATGTAACTTTGTTGAGGTCGAAAACAATAGACATTCCCGTGACTTTAAATAGTGAACGGATTTAGTTTCCTCAGGTTCGTCAACACAAACGGGCGACATTTTAACGGACCCTCTAGATTAGAGAACACCAAATAATAAAAGATATTAATTCACAGTCTGCATTTCATCTCGTGAGTTAAATATCGGTTATGTAAGTAAATAATAATATTTGAAAAAAGTTTTTTCTAATATCATATATATTGTTTCCTTATTTATTGTGTATTATTATCTATTTTATTATTATCTTATCTTATTGTCTATTTTTCATACTTTTGCCTTCATCATCGTTAAAATATGTTAAAATGCTAAGATCTCCAAAATATAAAATATAAAATAAAAAACAAAATAATATGAAATAATAAATATATATATATATATATATATATATATATAATCTATCATATTTATCATATAAAATATAAAATATAAAATATAAAAAAAATTACAGTTTATATCATATTATGCTTTTTCTGAAAATATTTTTGCAGATATTTGAAAGTATTAACATGGCTATTTGGAAATTGTTAATAAATCTTGGACTATTATATATTACTACAGCGATTTCTGTTGACAAAGATTCAAACAATGATTCCGCGATTAATTATCGTTTACCAGACCACGTAGTTCCGATACATTACAATATTAAGCTAATACCGTACATTGTGAAAGATAATTTTACCTTTGACGGAGAATCCAATATTAACATCACAATTCGGCGTGTAACGCAAAACTTACATTTACACGTATTGGACTTGACAATAAACGAAGCGGAGACATTGTTGTTTGATAACAATGGTATTATCTATACACCGGCAATGTATAATTATGACAATATTACACAAATCTTAGTTCTTCACTTTAATGATAAACTGTCACCTGGAAATTATACATTGAAAATGCGATATGTTGGTATCATACATAAAAACACGAGAGGCTTTTTTATATCATCTTATATCAATGACAAAGGAGATGATGTGTAAGTAAATATTAATATTTAAAAGTTCTTTCTAATACCATATGTATTATTTTTTAAATATTATTTATTATTATTATTATTTATTTGTCATTATCATATATCGCTTTAACATGCTAAGAGATTTTTAACCATCATATAAAATATAAGACTTAATGTGACATTGTTTAATGTCGTAATTTAATAATTGCGTATACAGAGTATCTTAAAACACTATATACAAACGCTTGTAAGAAAATAGAGATCAGTAAACTAAACAGAAAAATCTTATGCCATTTTACAATTTTCGCAATAATAGCAGAAATTAAATATTAAAATCGGACGAAAGAAAGAAGCGCTCGATCGGCTGACTGCTCTTCATTTCATTCGTCCGATTTTAATATTTAATATTTCTGTTATTATTACGAAAATTGTAAAATAGTATAAGACTTTTCTGTTTAGTTTACTGCACTCTACATCCTTATAAGCGCTTATATAGTGCTCTGGAACACCCTGTATATATGCAATATTTTAAATACTTATCTATATAATACTATGCATTTTCCTGTTAACGTAATATGATTCTTCATATTTTATATTTTTCGTGAAATTCCGAAAGAAAATTTTATCATAAAAAATAGAATGTGCTAGCTCGGTGTGTTTAAACAATTATAAGAATTAATCTAGGCTTATACTATATATAATAACAAAACAACTAATACGGACTTAACAACAATAAAAGTTAATTTGCATCCGGAGTTGTTCCGCGACGAGCCATCCAATCCGCTACAAATTACAAACAAAAAATGGTTTATTAACACAACACAACAACACATACCAGACGACATAATCAAGCTTTTGCAATTGGGGGAAAAATTTTCTCTACCTTTCGATGGAGACAAAGACAAATTAACCTTTGAATTTATAAAGGATATAGAAAGCAACATAAAATCGTAAAGTCAACGAAAGGTTTGAAATTAGAAATCACATCATCCCCACGTTGCAGAGTGTTTTGTCGGGGCTGGAATGCCCTCCACGTATATGCCGACGGGAAGAGTGCTTCGTAGCCACGTGGTCGAGGAAAAAAGTTGCGTTCCTCTCGTTTAAAAATATGTATATTTCAGAACTCACAAATACGTACAGTAGCTTGCTCAGAATGCCTTTCTTATTACTAATTATTGCACAAGATATTGCGTGCCTATGTGTGACAAAGGTATAACGTGGCTCAAGGGCCGAGAGCAGAGAGAGGACAAGAACGGCTCACACGCCAAGGCCAGCTAGAGGTGCCCTCTCGTGAAGTACAGAAGCGCCGCTAGGCGAAACGAGAGCGGAAAGCGAACGCTAGCGCGAATGCTCCCGCGGGACACTTAAGTGTACTAAACATCCTCCCCCCCTTGAAAGGACTTGCTTTCAATTGCATTGAACAAGACTAGATGCCTAACATTACGGGCTATAAAATTAAGACTGATTACCGCAAGCATTCTGCTTGTTACAATGAGCGAACAAAAGAGTAAATTTATTGCACTATGCGCGAATAAATTGAAGATTTAATTAGACATTGAGAGTAATTTTACAGACTAAACTAAAACTTACGATAAAGAAAGACTTAGCCTAAATATAAAAACAAAAAAGCTTAAGAGTCTATTGGTAGTATTGCTATTTTAGACAGTGGTCTAACTAATGAACCCTTTGAAGTTTTAATGACGGCGGACCTTGCATTGCCGCTAGAGTCCTTGTGTATTTGCACCACACGTCCGAGCATCCAGTACAAAGGTGCCAGACCTTGCTGCTTTAAAAGCACTAGTTGATCTTCCTTTAATTGTGGGCCCTTGTTGGCCTTCCATTTATGACGCTCCTGTAGGGAATGCAGATATTCAGAGCTCCATCTGCGCCAAAAATGCTGCCGGAGTTGCTCGACGCGTTGCCATCGCAGTAAGCGATTTTCGTTGACATCACATAAGTCGCTAGAAGGGAAACCGTTCAAGAGAGTGCCAACCAAAAAGTGCCCGGGGGTAAGGTAGGTTAGATCATTCGGATCCGAACTTAATTGCGTGAGGGGCCTCGAGTTTAGAATTGCTTCGATCTCGCATAAAACGGTTTGTACCTCCTCGAAGGTTAAATGTGCCCTCCCAATGATTCGATAAAGGTGATGTTTGGCTGACTTTACAGCCGCCTCCCATAGTCCGCCAAAGTGCGGAGCATTAGGTGGAATGAAGTTCCAGGTGGTCTTTTGATCGCGTAAAAAATTATTGATGTCAGTTTGTGCGCTATCGCGACCGAGTGACTCATAGAATTCGTGTAACTGTTTTTGAGCGCCTACGAAATTCGTCCCATTGTCAGAATATATGACAGCGGGTTTGCCTCTGCGTGAAACGAAACGTTTGAGTGCCGCGATGAAGGCCTCTGAAGTGAGATCACTCACAAGCTCAATATGAATTGCCTTCGTGGCAAAACAAACGAAAACTGCTACGTAAGCCTTGCTGATTCGAGCGTTACGTCGTTTACCTTCACGTATTAATAACGGTCCGGCATAGTCAATTCCGCAATGATGAAATGGCCTGGAAACCGTTATTCGCCCGGCCGGCAATGCGCCCATTATCGCTTCTGAGATAGTCGGTTTGTTTTTAAAACACGTGACGCAATTTTGCAAGATTTTGCGAGTGACCGATCGCAGGGATAGGGGCCAAAAGCGTTGCCTTACGGCAGCCATGGTTGCTTGTAGGCCAGCATGAGCATTGCGCTCGTGCTCTCGTAGTATAATGAGTCTCGTTAAAATGTGATTTCGCGATAGCAAAATTGGGTGACATGTGTCGAAAGGTAGCTCGGCGTTTTTTAGCCTACCGCCCACGCGAATTAGACCGTTGGTATCGATAAAAGGGGATAACGATAGCAGATTGCTAGTTGTTCTGATAGCCTCACCCTTGCTTAAGGCTCGGTATTCCTCGGGGAAGTCCGTTTTCTGTGCCGTTTTGCACATCACATTTAAGGCAAAGGAAATTTCTTCGCAAGTTACGAAAGACGTGAATGGATCGGATCTTCTAGCCTTGGAAAATCTTAGGCAATATGCCAGGATACGACAAATTTTATTTAGGTTAGAATGCTTCCTTAATAAACCCTCTACAACGGAGTTTTCAATGGTAGCGACGGCTACCGTTGTTCGAATTGATTCGGGAATGTCGTTACTCAAAATAGTAAATTCACCGTTTGGCCAAAGACTCTCGCGTGTCATCAAAAAGGCTGGGCCATTCCACCACATCGCAGAATCTTCAAGTTCGCGCGGATGTAGACCTCGAGACAAAATGTCTGCTGGATTGTCAGCCGATGAAACGTGACGCCACGAATTAAGGTTTGTAAGACGCTGGATTTCGCCGACTCTATTAGCAACAAAAATTGCCCATTTCCGGGATGGCGAAGATATCCAGTTTAGGGCTATTGTAGAATCGGACCAGAGAAAGATTTTCATGTTAGTTATTGGAAATGAATCATTGATTTTATCAATTAGTTGCGCTAATAGAAGAGCAGCCGATAATTCCAATCGGGGCAACGAGAGTGCCTTAAGCGGAGCAACGCGAGACTTTGAGGCGAGCAACTTGCACCCAAATTCTTCCGGACCTATCTGTGTACGCACGTAGACGCATGCTCCGTATGCCCGTTGACTCGCGTCGCAAAAACCGTGTATCTGAGTTGCTTGCGACTCTGAATTAAATTTTATACAACGCGGAATTTTTAACCGATTGAAATCTTCGAACTGAGACTTGAGCTTGTTCCAGCGCGTGTTGATATCTGGGGGGACCGATTCGTCCCAGTGCATGCCCAATTGCCACAGATCTTGCAACAGAAGTTTTGACAAGACTACGGCCGGACCTAGTAAACCCAGGGGGTCAAATAAACGCGAAACTTCGGATAGGATAACGCGCTTCGATAAATTCTTATGCTCCGCGTCAGGAATGTAAGAAAAGTGAAGCTCGTCCAAGGATTGATTCCAATGCATGCCTAAAATTCGCGAACTCGCTTCGTGATTGATTATAACCGTGTTATCAGTTTGATCATGTATATTTTTTAGCAATTCTGGAGAATTTGATGCCCATTTACTAAGTTCGAAGCATCCTAATCGCAACAAGTTAATGGTCTCGTCTCGCGCCTTGACTGCCTCGCTTAGAGTATCGGCTCCCGAGAGCAAATCGTCAACATAAAGGTCGCGCTCTACGCATACGGAGCCCATTGGGTATTTATCGCGATTCGATTCAGCAAGATGCTTAAGACATCTTGTTGCTAGATATGACGCGGGGGTGGTCCCATATGTAACGGTGGCAAGCTCGAATGTTTGTACTTCTGAAGCCTGGTCCTCCCGCCACAAAATTCGTTGGTAGCACGCATGGGAAGGATCTATAAGAATTTGGCGATACATTTTAATAATATCGGCTACAAAAACATAACGAAAGGTTCGGAAACGCAGTAAAATCGAAATCAAGTCTTGCTGGACTACCGGGCCCGTCATGAGAATGTCATTTAAAGAAACGCCGGTACTGCTTTTACTGGACGCGTCAAAAACTACGCGGATACCGGAAGCTGGTGATGCGCTCTTGAATACGCAATGGTGAGGAAGATAGAAAGATTCGCTTAAGCCATCTACCGATTCGTGTATTTGTTTCATATGCCCAAGTGCGAGATATTCACGTAAAAAGTGTGCGTATTGAGCTTTAAGATCCGGATAACGCTTAAATCTTTTCTCGAGATTATAGAACCGTTTCAATGCAGAATCTTTTGAATTTCCGAGTTTGCCGTTCGCTTGATCCTTGAAAGGAAGTTTGACAATGTATCTACCCTGATCATTGCGTGTAAAATTGTTTAAGAAACTCTCTTCGCAACGAGATTCTTCGTCGGTGTAATGTCTTGGATTGCTAACAGTTTCTAGCTGCCAAAAACGAGTTAATTGCGCATGCAACTGCGAATTGCTTATTGTCGCGTGAAAGGCTCGAATGCATTGCGATTTGTGTGAAGAAGGAGTTAATCGTCCCGCCAGA